CGACGGTTTATTCGTTGCATTTCGGCAAAGCACGTGTTTTCCTAGAGGGCTGGTTTCTTTTTACCTAAATCTTGTTGCCGCGGTGGGAGTGGACTCATAATGTAACGATGGGAAACTGCTTGGGGGTAGAGGAATCCTTACAATCGGGCGACAAAGATGTTCAGCTCACGGGAGTATTACGCAATGTTCTGGTGATACGTACAGAATAACGGATATGCGGTTGTAGCTGTACAAGTGTTGGGCTACGTAGAACATCTTATACATTGAAAACAATCAGGCCCTTTCGGGATCACCAATTTTCCTAACGCAGGAACAACACGTTGGATTAAAAATACATTAAGTGATTGTGTCGGCTGATCAGTGTTAATTATCAGTGTGAATAACCCGGACGCACTTGACGTTACAACCGTTAACTTCGGCTGGTGAGGTATACCTACGATCATCTGCGAACTGGGCGATACCCTGCCATAAACCGTTTCGGCCGTCGATGACCAGTCGGTCAGGATCGGTACAGTGACCTACTGACACAGGTTTGCAAACTGCAGGTGAATTTCCGAAAGGGTGAGTTTTAATCAATTTATTGCTGATTATTATTTTTTTAGTTTAACGCAAGCTATGATTTATTTCCGGTGACAATTCTGCAAGTTTCTGTACCTAAATTTTTCTTCGAGCTTTTTGAAGAAACTCATTCGTTATCAGTAACATTGTTGCCCGTTATTAAACTACGAATTTTATGCCAATACTAAACTACGATCACTTCTCGTTCATTCCATGTTACATTACTTTTTCGTTAATATGATATTTGAAAAGGAAATTTACAAATTCCTTAGCCCCTCTGCATTCGCCTTTTTACGTTACATATAATTTTCCTACATTTATGCTTCATTCATGAATCTGTGTAAATAACAATCGACAGATGATAAAATGTACGATTTTATTTGTTACGTATTTTTAAATTTGCTATTTTACGCAGTTTTCTGCGATATATGTCGACTCGCTTGTTCGTAGCTCCATAGTACAAGTGCAGCGTGTAGCCACCGCTAGCGCGGGAACTCGACTGACAAACTCGCGCTCTGATTGGTCGCAGTTTTTCGTTAATATTTCGGTAACGAAGCCTCAGATTACATTGTTGGTAAGGAACAAGTTCTTCCAAATCACCCCCCGAATGCCACATTTCCGGGTCGGACAACATTTTTGTTACAACCTGAATACATATATGTGTATACAGGGTGTTTCGTTTAACTGGAAACGGTGGAATATCTCACGAAGGATTAAAGTTATCAAAAAAATGACCATACAAAAGTTGTTAGGTACAAAGGGGGACATAACGTGGTATAAATCATTTTTCTATATGTGTCGTAGTGGGGAAGATATCAAAGTTAAGTTAATTTTTTTAAATGGAACCCTGTATTTTTTTATTCATATTATGATAGTGTTTGTTGAGACGAATACAACGAACTGCCACATGATATCATTCCGAGTTGTAAAATATCATAAATTAAATACAAAGTAGTCAGATCAACACGGATCGTGTGTCGTCGGTCAGCTGAGCTCTACGTAACTGTGCCATCTACTCGTACCAGACCGATTGTTCCGTTTTTAATAAAATATTCCTGGTATGGAAACAACACCAATATTGTAGCAAATATGAGGAGTTAGGCATAAATAATGGATTTTAAATTTCACTTACCACTATCTAACTTGTAGTATCAAGAAATAATTAATAATTTTTTACGTCATTTATCCTTCAACATGCCCACCATCGTTACAAATACACGTTTCTATTCTGTTTAAAAATTCTCTTTTGACACTTTTCAACATCTTGTCCGTTATTCTTTCGCGTGCGACTATAATCCTGTTTCGTAAATCATCAACATTTTCAACCGATGTTTGGAAAACTGACTGCTTTAGATACCCCCATAGGAAAAAGTCACATGAAGAAAAATCTGGTGATCTTGGTGGCCATGTAACTGGACCGCAACGACCTATCCACTGGTTGCGAAAATTGTTATTCAGCCAATTACGAACTGATATGGCATAATGAGGAGGGGCACCATCATGTTGAAACCAGACATTTCGTCTTAACATCAACTTAAGGCATGTCATCCAAAATATTTAAAAAATGTGTTTGCAGAAACTTTAAATACGCTTGGGAATTAACAATTCCTTCAAAAAAATACGGTCCAATTATTTTTCTGTTATGTATTCCGCACCAGACCATAACAGATTGTCCGTATTGATTATTTGTTTCATCGTTTGTTTCTATTTCATCACGTAGGGTTCAACTAGGCCATTTGCGTTTAACTGACTTCTTAAAATCTTACTAATTTATCACTTCCTACTACAGGGAATGATATCATGTGGCAGTTCATTATATTCGTCTCAACAAATACTATCATAATATGAATACAAAAATACAGGGTTCCGTTTAAAAAAATTAACTTGACTTTGATATCTCTCCCACTACTACACTTACAGAAAAATTATTTATACCACGTAATGTCCCCCTTTTTACCAAACAACTTTTGTACGAACAATTTTTTGATAACTTTAATCCTTCGTGAGATATTCCACCGTTTCCAGTTAAATATTATACAGTACAATGCTTTATATGTACAGCGGATGTAGTTTTAGAACGATTATCCTATCACTGTCGATTTCTAGACACATAAAATTCTTGTTTCTTGTTTCTTTTGAAGGGGGTTCGGGTTCAAAGGGGACTTCACTCATCTACTGTATTTTACTTTTCTTCACGAAGATAGATTTTCTTTGCAAAACGCGCGGAGTGTCAGGATATACGAATTCGGCCCAATGAACCGCCACGGTTGCACGTGGAAGTCGATGTGTTGTTTATCTAAAAAATAGTTCTTTACAAATTACAGCAGCACTCATATTTGAAAAGTTCCCCTGCATCGTTGCGTGTTGTAAGATATTTTGTTTCGATTTTTTTTCTGTGTCACTAATCGTTCGGCGTTTTCTTCCGCGAAAAGAACACGTTTTTTCTAAATAAGTTTCAAATACGGAACGGTCCAGTAATCAATGTCGTTTCGAACGTCTTCTGATTTGGTAGGCGTTACAGAAAAATTTTTCTTGCAAGTTTCTACGACGAGTTTAATTTTTGTAATTGTAATAATTTCCTTGCGCGAAGAATGCCAATGAGTATCATTACTAGACTGTGGATTTTATGCATTTATTGTAAATGCGAATATGTAAAACACAAGACAGTAGAAATTTTACGAAAATGAGAATATGAATTTTACACCACTTTGGACCTAACAAAACCTTTAATAAAGGAAACATATCTTGGACATAATATCAATTCAGTAAATTAATCAATAAAAATCTGAATTTGCATACAAATCCGCAATCGAATCATTACTGTCTGATTGCTTTTTAAATTAGCGATACATTTTTTGAAGGTTGTCGCCTTAATTAATGGAGTAGCCTATTTTGTACCGAGCAACTTTTAAACCTACAATTATTTTGAAGGTATTTAATGTGTTTAATAGCAGGTACTGAACCGATTATTTAATCGTTACGCCCCGGTGATTTTAACAATACGTGTACTTTTGTTGAGCATATTACGTCCTGGAAGTAGGATTCTTTTAGAATATTTCATTGTTTACCACAATATACATACTTAACATGTAATAGTAGTTCCCGTGTGTATGTATACATATATTATATATGTATGTATGTATACGCACGGCATATTTATTTATGCCATAATTATCTTGTATAATACACATTGACATTTTTCCCATTAATATACCCACCAGTGGTTTTTCGACCCCAATCTATCAATTTCACTTGCCGTGGCGTTCGTTTGTAACGAACGGTCGTTGGCTTTTGAAGATTCACCCTATTTTTTTTTCGCAAACGGGCCGAAGTTTCGTACAAATATTTCTAACGAGTTCTCAAAAGTGATTTAGGAATTTCAATAAACTATCTATTGCATTGTTGCTGCCTGAATAAACGTACGATTGGTTTCTCGTCGGTTCACCCGTGTGGTTCCAGGTACGTACCCGCGTTCTTCCTGATATAACCTCGATCGAAGCCTCTTAATAACGCCGTGATATTATTCCGTTCGCGCATCTTCCGTTCAAATATTGACGCGCGCCATCCGACCCGTTCAATCCTCTAAGAAGTTTTGCGAAATCGAACCGGGGGCACGTTTTCCTTCGATCGGGGAAATTCAAATCGAGAGAACCACCAGGGAATCGTTGAACGATCAAACACCTTAAAGATTACAAAAAATCAAAAATTACGTTCGTCCATTTCTTGTACAATAGAATATATATTACTACGGTTTCAAACAGACTCTCGGAGGTACGTGTTAACGGTTTACAATTTTCTCGATCAGGCTCTATCGGATTTCGGTCCGATTCATTGTAATCCTAGCAAAATACATACAAACATATCATTAGCCGTACAAGTAACCCGCTGGTCGATCGAGAATGCTGGACGTTCTTGGCCAGCTTCTTCGAAACACCACAAATTGTAAAAAGTTTCGGAGAGTTTCCACGAACGTTTGGGACGTTACCACGATGCAAACCGACGCGAGGTGTTGCTGCTCATCGTGACGGAATAATAATGAAGTCCATAGAGGCAGGCAGGATCCGTTGAAACTTCGATGACGGGAACACGATCGATCATTCAGTTTCTTCTCGGATTCTGTGTGTATGTGTGTTATTTTTATTTTTCATAGGCACTGAACGTTCTCCTATGTCTCCTTCTCGTGTAAGAAACTTGGTTCTGTGCTCGACATGGATTTTTTTGGCGGGCTCGTTTTTTTCTTGGAAGCTTCAGTCGGCACTTAATTACTCCTCTTTTTCTATCTCGGATGGTTCGTTTGAAAGGGAGCCTCTGCTACGAGGCCACGAGGTATGAAACTCGTTGTCCAAAAAGGGGAAAGCGATCCGATCTCCACCCGGAGGATTGCTATGATCACGTTTCCTTTCCGCCGACGGGACTAGGCAATCGTCGCCGATTTTCTACGATCACAGAACTGTCTCCATCTCGGCGATTTCCGTTCTCGCGGCCTCGTCGTCCGGGATCCTGTATAAAGAATTCGATTTCTTTCGTTAGTTTAAGAGAACGATTGGGACAGTTTCGATATTCTCGTGCAAATCTCGCTGAATCGTTCTTCTCGGCTATGGATACGGTAGGAAAATGATCAGGATTCCGTGGAACGGGGAACTCATATTCGTGTTTGATACGCGAAAATACGTGGAGTGTTTCAAGGAAATATTTCCAGCTAGGCGGTCGTATAACTGAAAGTTTCTGCGAGCAGTAAACTCAATACGATAACTACTGGAATAGAGCGATCCAAAATTTTCTTTCCGTTTCTTTTAGGGGAACTACTTTCGTTACTCTAGGTACTAGAGTTTCATTGCTTGCAACGCGTTGAATCTTTTCCACATTTGAAACTATAGGAAACTATAATGACTGGATACGAAGGGGATATGCAGCGAATAATTTTCAACAAGTCTCAAAATGGTGGAACTAAATCTGGTTTCTTGTGTTAATTAAAGGTGCTGAACATGATGCCGGTTCTAGTTTTCCCTCTACACGTCATAAAGTCCAGCTTTTTACATATAATGTTAGCGCTGTTCAGTTTTCCTGATTTCTTGAATTATTCATCTGGTACAATTTTTCCGACTTTATTTCTATCGTATTTAACAAATAATAATGAATTTACGTAAAATATAAATGTAGGATGTAAGTAATTTCAAAGTCCAGTTTCTGGAAAACGAAGTCTCAAATACAAAAATTTTTTCTGTCTTTTCGAATTATTTTTTCATATAGAATCACCCCTACCCGGTTGTACCACCAATCTACATTGCACTTCGTATACCTTATTTAAAATGAAAGTTTAAAAAATGTTTAACTGAAAAGTTAAAACTGAAATTACTATTGTAATTAGCAATTCAAAATCAACTAAATGAAACCAGTTTCACTCCATCATTTTAGAATTTTCCAAATTTTGTCGAACAGTGTTATTTATAGATTTACTAAGGTTGTTGACGTCCGATATTCGAAATGTCCTAGACGACCAGGCAACACTGTTATAAAATATTGTTAAGAATCGTGAGTAAATATTGAAAGAAGAAATTTTTGTTTATTTCTACTGTAAATTGTTTCAAGATCTTAAGAGGTTGAAGACCAAAAGAAGTACATATTAGAGTATTACAGAAAATAGTCTTCAGCTTCAATCACTTAGTTATTTCTTTTTGATAGAAATGTATCTTGATGTTTGAATCTATCTTTTATTGTACTTATGATTTAATACACACATGCTTTCAAACGTTTGAAAAATATTTTGAAGAACCTCACACGGTGACTCACTGTTCCTTCTCTTTCGAGTTCCAGTGTACATATATAGATCACGCGAGTTTTATGTTATGATAGAGAATTCCGGTTTCTCAAAATAGGAAGCATATTTCGTTTACCTGTAGATCTCCGGCGGCAAAAATTTGTCCGTGTACTCTGTGCTGACGACGTGATTCCTCGTCATATCTCTAGGCCTGGCAACATCGATGGTGTCGATGAATCTAGATCGAAAATAATTCCCATGCAATTATCTTTGCGTCAAAGAATACGGTATATCGCCTATAAATAGATAATCACGGATATACAGAATAAGAGGATTAATAATAGAATGTAAAACATTTTTCACACTTTAGATGGTACGAGAAGGTTGTCCAGCAAGAGAAAATTCAATATGAAACGAATACATTAAATCTTTTATTTGGAAACCTTAGTCACTTCTGTTTTAAGAAGAAACTAACTCCTAACTAACTTGCAGCATAATGCAATCTTTATCCCCATTAAAGTTCTCACTTTTCGATCACGTTTTGCGTGATTAATTCAAACATTCCTGTGCACAGATCATCAACAACCCCTGTAACGTATTGTCGAATTTTCTGAAATATTCGAAATTTTATTAATTATAAATTATAAACACATTTTTGTGTCTTGAGAAATAAAAATTTTCTCTTCATTAGTTAATAGTTACGAACAGAAACGTCCTTTTTTTAAACTACTTTCTCTTACCATTAAAGCCACTTGAACATTTAAGATTCTAATGCTGAACAACCCATTCTGCGCAATAGACTCGCTCCCATACTATTTTATTTTTTTCATTTCCTGGTTTTCCCTAATTTCCAGCAACTTCCTCGACCAAAAGAAATCGCTTCACTGGCACTGTCAGCCTGTCATTGTACCGCAGACGATTTATCGCCCTGCTATGCCCGTCCGATACATTCTCCACGAGTTGATCGAAAATTCGTCGTTGAACTCGCATGCCATGCTATCGAGCACATGAAAAGTGGGCGGATCGATACGTTCCGAAGAAACAGTTTGAATACTAATAATAAAAAAATAAGAAAATAGTATATCTGAATGCGTGTATGCAAACTCTTTGAACTACAAGCGAAGCGGCTACAATCTACTTTCATGTTTATCGTTTCATTTTCGACGTCGTTCGTCACCGATCCTCGCGTAGCTCAAACCGTTCGGTCCGTCGTTTATTCTTTACGGTATGGTGCCTTTCCGAACTACAGTGACTCCATAAAAACAGTAGGGCTAGAATTCCTTCACGCCTTTAATTATTTCGTTGCTAAGTCAAGCGCCCTGGGACGCCGAACGTATTTTATGGGTAATGGTTATATACAGGGTGTCCCAAAAATGTCCTCCGACCCGGAAATGTGGCACTCGGGGGGTGAATTGGAACAACTTTTTCCTTAGCCAAAATTTAAACTGAGGCTTCGTTTACGAGATATTAACGAAAAACCGCGACCAATCAGAGCGCGAGTTTGCCAGCCGAGTTCCCGCGCTAGCGGTGGCTACGCGCTACGCTTGTACTACGAAGCTCCGAACAAGTAGGTCACCATGCATCGCAGGAAACCGCGTATAATAATAGCAAATAAACAAGACGTAACAAATAAAATCATACTTTTTATCATCTGTCGTTTGTTATTTAAAGAGATTAATGAATGAAACGTAAATGTAGGCAAATTATGTGTAACGTAAAAAGACGAATGCACATTTACATTTTTGTAAATTCCTTTTTACGAATTTGTAAATTTCCTTTTCAAATAACGTGTGAACGAAAAGGTAATGTAACAGAGAATAAACGAGAAGTGATTGTAGTTCGGTGAAATTAATAAAACAATAATGACCAATAAACTGAATAGAACTCACCCTTACGGAAATTCACCTGCAGCGTAGAAACCTGCGTCAGTAGGTCAGTGTACCGAGCCTGGGCATCGACGGACGAAATGGTTTATGGCAGGGTAGAGTCCATGCCACTGGTGATCGCAGGTATGCGACACCAGCCGACGTTAAGAGTTGCAACGTCAAGTGCCGCCGGGTTAATCCATCGAATATGTATTCACTTCACTGCACTGCACTAACACTGATCACCCGACACAATCACTTAATGTATTTTTAATCCAACGTGTTGTTACTACGTTAGGAAAATTCGTATCCCCGGAAAGGGCCGATTGGTTTCAATTTTTCAGATGTTTTACGTAACCAAACACTTGCACACCAACACCCGCATATCCGTTATTGTGTACGTACCACCATAAGATTCCGTAATACTCCCGTGAACTGAACATCTCTGTCGCCCGATTGCTAACCGACTGACAGAATTTTTCCGAAAGGGCTTCCTCTACCCCCAAGTAGTTTCCCATCGTTACATTGTGAGTTCACTCTCACCACGACAAGATTTAGGTAAAACGAAACCAACGGTTCTAGGATAACACGTGCTTTGCAGAAGTGCAAGGGAAGAACCGTCGCGCAGTTTCTCCAAGGCGCCGTAGCCCGTTAATTTATTGCCAGGGTACCCACTGCTTCGAGATAGAAAACAGACGTCACGTGCATCGGCTTGAAAATGTCCGAAATGAAGAGGCCCTGGCCGACCACCCTTGTAGAGGCCGGAGTGGAATTTTCGGTTCTTTATGGCTCAATTTCTTCGGCCTTTTTTTTTTTTAGTATTCCGTCAAATATCTCGGAATTTATTAGAAATATAAAAACCGTACAATTTGCAATATTGTGTTTGTTTTGATATTGAATGTAGCTATATCATTGAATTCCAGAATAATCCCTTTCTTTAAACAATCTTTCGACGACTCCTGACAGTGCGCGCTGCAGGTAAATCCAAAAAAAATACTACCGTTTTCGTTGAACTCTTTTCCGTAAATCATTGACACTTTGATATAGCTTTTAATCTATTGAAATAGTCTGGAGCGTTAGCGATACCATCAGTCGACTGTAATAGTGGAGCGCCCGATTCTTTTACCTGAACCGGGGCGCACCGCTGTCTTCAATGGGTTACTATTACGTTAATATGAACCGCATCACCCTACCGATAGGCTTATTTTACGGAAAAGAATTTAACGAATACGGTTTTTATATTTCTAATAATTTCCGAGATATTTGACGGAATACTAAAAAAAAAAATACGTATGAAATGTTTTCATGAGAACTACAATTTCACAAAGTTGTAATAAAATTGTCGATTGTCAATTCTGTTGTGAGTTCACGATTGCTACGAGGCCGAAGATTTTAAGCCATAAATAACCGAAAATTCCACTCCGGCCTCTACAAGGGTGGTCGTCCAGGGCCTTGCAGCGTCAACTGACACGTGTCGGTAAATTTTTTTCCCTGCTCCTCGAGATAGACAACGTACATTGTACTTTCCAACTCGGAGCAAGGGATACGTTGGTGGTCCTCTTCATTTCGGACATTTTTAAGCCGATGCACGTGATGTCTGTTTTCTATCTCGAAGGAGTAGGTACCCTGGCAATAAATTAACGGGCTACGGCGCCTTGGAGAAACTGCGCGACGGTCCTTTCCTTCCACTTCTGCAAAGCACGTGTTATCCTAGAACCGTTGGTTTCTTTCTACCTAAATCTTGTCATGGTGGGAATGAACTCACAATGTAAAGATGGGAAACTACTTGGGGGCAGAGGAAGCCCTTTCGGAAAAATTCTGTCAGTCGGTTAGCAATCGGGCGACAGAGATGTTCAGTTCACGGGAGTATTACGGAGTCTTATGGTGGTACGTACACAATAACGGATATGCGGGTGTTGGTGTGCAAGTGTTTGGTTACGTAAAACATCTGAAAAATTGAAACCAATCGGCCCTTTCCGGGGATACGAATTTTCCTAACGTAGTAACAACACGTTGGATTAAAAATACATTAAGTGATTGTGTCGGGTGATCAGTGTTAGTGGTCGTGCAGTGAAGTGAGTACGTATTCTGTGGAATAACCAGGACGCACTTGACGTTACAACCCTTAACTTCGGCTGGTGAGGTATACCTGCGATCACCTGCGAACTGGGCGATACCCTGCCATAAACCGTTTCGGCCGTCGATGACCAGGATCGGTTCAGTGACCTAGTGACACAGGTTTGCAAACTGCAGGTGAATTTCCGAAAGGGTGAGTTCTAATCAATTTATTGCTGATTATTATTTTCTTAATTTAACGCAAGCTATGGCTTATTTCCGGCGATAATTCTGCAAGTTTCTGTACCTAACTTTTTCTTCGGGCTTTTTGAAGAAACTTATTCATTATCAGTAACATTGTTGACAGTTATTAAACTACGAATTTTTATACCAATACCAAATTACGATCACTTCTCGTTTATTCTCTGTTACATTACCTTTTCGTTCACACGTTATTTGAAAAGGAAATTTACAAATTCGTACAAAGGAATTTACAAAAATGTAAATGTGCATTCGTCTTTTTACGTTACACATAATTTGCCTACATTTACGTTTCATTCACTAATCTCGTTAAATAACAAAAGACAGATGATAAAAAGTATGATTTTATTTGTTACGTCTTGTTTATTTGCTATTATTATACGCGGTTTCCTGCGATGCATGGTAACCTACTTGTTCGGAGTTTCGTAGTACAAGCGTAGCGCGTAGCCACCGCTAGCGCGGGAACTCGGCTGGCAAACTCGCGCTCTGATTGGTCGCGGTTTTTCGTTAATATCTCGTAAACGAAGCCTCAGTTTAAATTTTGGCTAAGGAAAAAGTTGTTCCAATTCACCCCCCGAGTGCCACATTTCCGGGTCGGAGGACATTTTTGGGACACCCTGTATAGTATACCTAAACCGGTAGACAATACAGAAATGTCCTGATAAGTGTGAGTGCCTCGGTTCCGCGCGGAGTCACACTCATGAATACGCGCGGGGATAGTTGTCAGCACCACGTCAGTTTTTTGCTCGAAGCTCGAGCCTCGGCCGCTTGCCTTTGCAGTCTTCCGACATAGACAAGGACAAGCGACCTAGAGAACAGACAGAGAAAGCATCTCTTTCCACTCGATTCGACTGCGTGGTCCGCCTGCGACGCTCTCGCCGACCAATGGTTACATTATAGACGACCACACAGTCCGATTGTGTGTGTACTGTTAAATAAGACGTGTGAATGGAGGCGATCCAGCTACATTTTATTCGTCGACACCTCTCTGGGCAGTCGCTGATGACTGAAGTTCAGTCACTGAACGCTTCGACTAATCGTCGTACATTCCCCCGCTTCGTCCGTCGATTCCGTCGAGCGCATACATTGTTGCACGATGCGCCGAGACGGTTTCCCACGAGCCAAAAAAGATTACATTCCCGGGTATTGGCGAGCAACGCTAATGCAACGTTGAAACTTTCTTGTTTTTGATTCGTTGTTAATAAAACTCTTACTAGTATATTGGTGAGGTTTTTCTGATTAAAATGATACCAAACACGACATAATTTGTGACATATTTACTCATGTAGAAAGTGTTAACAATTCATATTTCTTCATTATTGTTTCTGATAAATCATAAGTAAATATGGTTCAAATTATATCATGTTTGGTATCCTTTTAATCAGAAAAATCTCATGAATATGCTCGCAAAAGTTTCGTTAACAAAGAACCAAAAACAAAAAAGTTTCATTGTTGCATTAGTATTGTGTCACTCAATTCCCCCGGGCATGTAATCTTTTCTTGATCTCTCCTCGTTCAGCCGGTGGCTCGTGAAAGAGAAGCCCCGCAGTGCGTCGGGCAAGAAATTATACGCTTGACTGGTTTCACGGCCCTCTTCCCCAGTGGTATGGGTGACTTCACACTTATCGTGAGCAAATTGACTCACACTTATCGAGACATTTCTGTACTTCAGAAAATATTAGACGCGACATTAACCACTTAACGTGCGATTTCTTGAAAAAAAATGATATTTTTTCATTCGTGGAAATAATCATTTGTACATATTTTTGTACAATACTCACACATATGGGGATAAAAACTAAAATATTTAATCAAAAACATTAATTTTACTTCTTCAAGTTACATACGTGAAATGTAGACACAATAACTACAATAGTTCCAAGAACAATAAAAAATTACAAATTGTACCTTATTCTGTATTAGTCCCACAATGAATGAAACTGATCGTTGAAATAACAGCTGTCGCAAATGAAGCAAACTTTTGAAAAGCCGTTCTCCGGACGTTTGTATTTATCGAGAGGTGTATGTGAATAGTCACAATATTTTAGGTCTTACGAAAAGTTAGAATAATGATTAAAAAATAGGTTAAATTATGCATATACTAAAAAAATAATTCTTCTTTTATACAATCACGGCTTTCTTGAGATTAGTTTTCATTGCCCGTATTTATTGGGATATGTACATTATGGTAACATAAAATTCTAGATTTCTCGAGTTAACTCGAGCGTGCGCGTTAAAGTTCTAATAACTGAAGTTAAATTTGAAAAGCATAAAAAATGTGTCAGACGTATAGTAAAAGAAAGTAAATGGGACCGAGTACATACAATATTGTACCCTCAAGGGTATCTCACATATGTAAATCACCAACTTAGGAGGTCAGGCCTAAAGTCACTCGTAACTCGGGGAGGCACCATAACTGGTCCTCATTTCAACCGGATGGTCTCACGGCGATTGTTACGAAACTGGCGACCCGGTCGAGCCAGCACGAGTGATCGATTTTTATTATCCGGCCCGGAGGTGCAACGGAGATTCGTCGACGGGTTCGTGGACGGCAGTTTTTTCGACGCGCGCTCGTTCCGCCGCGACAGCAATTTTCCTGCTACTTTGCGGAACAACCGAGAATATAAAAGCCATCGACTCGTCGATTTCTGCGTGCGCCTTGGGACCGTTCGCAGTGACGTAGGAACCGTCTATCGGCGGAAACGTTACGGGTAATGTTTCTATCGTGTTGCGTTCGAATATAAATCAGCGAGTAATCAATGAGTTCGTTACCACAAAATTTCATGCAAGCCAGGAATTTCAGATATATTCGCGAAATGTTTCCAGGTGGAAGATAATATTATATCCTGTTTAAGCAGACGTGCCAGATGTCACAGCTTGTACACACCCTATGTTACGCGACACTTTGGTTTTTAGCTCGTCTTAAACGGCGAAACGCCCCCCCCCCCCTCCTCCGCCCGTCGGTCGCGCCGCGGAATGACACCAGCTGGCGCACAAACAACCGTGAATTTTTCGGACATTTGGCAGCTGATTCCGGCGGTGGTGTTGTTCCGGTGCCAAGTTTCGTTATCCATGACCCAGTAAACACATCTTGCGGGCGCAATTATCGGACGGGAAAAGTGCTTAGGAATGTGATGAGTTATAACGAAGTTAACCCTCTATAAACCATTTTGTTTTTGTTGCGGTCTAGAAAAAAGTCATTAAGTGCACCAAACGAGTAATGCACTATGTGTCGACAAAATCTGTATTCGTTACTATGGAAGTCAACGATCTATACTGATTTATTTATATTTGAAATGATTCTTCGATATCCTACACTATTCTTCCTCAGTGGTAGATCGAGAAGTTAATTCAAAATGTATTCCCTTACAACTGAATGTGGTTGATGACCCAAACAAATCCTCATTTTTCCTGGACTGTGCTCTGAATTTTTATTTATATTAAAAGAAGAACTACATCTTTGACGTAACAAGCGATTCTATATTACAGTAGAGACTTTGGTAAGTATACTAGTATTTTTCAGATTCTTTGAAATTCTAAAGCAGTAAAAAAATTAGGTTTGAATACAAATGTCCCAGTTTGCCTACGGAGGGTTACGAAAATAGTGGATTAGTTATTGGTATACTTAATATACAGGCTGTAATAAAAATGTTGCAAGTCTCTGAAATTGGACACTCATGAGGAAATTTGGAACAAGGTTTTTCCTAGCAAAAATGTTATCCGAGGCTTTGTTAACGAGATATTAACGAAAAATCCCGACCAATCAGAGCGCGAGTTTACTGGCCAAGTTCCCGCGGTAACATTAACCTCGGATATGAACTAACAATAAATTTATGATATTCAAACATTTTATTCTTCTATTTTAGTATTTATGTATGCTTATTATGATTATCAAACGTTTTGGTTATGAAAGAGTGGCACAGCAATGAGATTTTTCGCCACCTGGTGATGAAGAAACGAAGTAAATCTTAAAAATACAGATTGTGACTTCAAAGTTACATGGCGTTATAGAGGGTTAAAGGAAAAAAGTCTCGGATCGAACACACTTAGTTTATTTTTCTTCATAACAGCGGACTCTTTAAAAAAAGAAGAAGAATTTTCAACGACACGTGTTCTAAAAATTTACTTATTATGCTTCCTATGGACGGAAAAATGTCCCTTGAAACTATTATAAACGTCATTACTAAACACAAATCTGAGGTTAACCGTTCAATATTTGTCGCTTCTACTTTTCATCGCGAAACTCACATGAATCTATTTCAAAGTTAACGCAGGAGTTCATAATTATTTGAATTACAAAATACAGGGTTTCCATGCCTGGATAGAATGTCAACACGCAAAGATATTTCTGTTCTGCTCGAGTACGATGGAGGATCATTTGTTAGGTTAAAGGACGTGCTCAATTCACGCGAGTGAAGAAACTTTCACGCCTTTATAATAACACACAGGACGATACTGCAAGAGCGGGTATTCCTGTTACAGGAAGACACTGAATATTTCATTTACTAATGCTGTATCTTAAAATAACGAATTTGTAAACCTAAGTAGTTATCCCTCCAACGAGTATCTAATCATTTTTTAGAAGCAACTTCTACGATCTCAAATAAATTTTATGGAAACATACTTTAACACTAGCAACCAAAACAAACAAAATAACTGGTTAATATACTCTTATAACGATGATGAAAATGTTCAATAATGCAACTTCTCAAATTATTCACAACTTTTGTTGCAATGTGTGAGTAAAGAAATTAGTTAGTTTATAAATTTATATATTTTCAAAGGTTTGTCATGTTTATCGATCCGATAGAAATAGATTTACGTTTATTTGTCGGTAGTTCAGGTTTATTTACTTATTTTTTGCTTTCAAACCAGACGTGATGTTAATTAAGCTTGAAACAAGCATCGTGTAACAAATTTTTTTGTATTCCATTATTTTAGCTTCACTATCCGCACAAAAATCGAAATTTCAGTTCTACATTTACTCTTTCGTATGACATCGTGACTTTTCATATACGTATTCGGTTAAAAAATAATTTAAAGGTTGCAAAATTTGCGAAAAACATGATTTCACCGCGCGAAATGCTCATCTGTCGTTAATGACACCGAGGACACCTGAATCTTGTAAAAAATGAAGAAACAACGGTCTGACGCACATCCTGGAAAATTTTTGCCTCGGTTCCTACGTCACTGACACATTCTTACGTGTTTTGCGGGAGTTGCGGACTTACGAATCAAAGTATGGCGGTAGCGGATGCGGAGCTTCTGCCACCAATGGCTCCGGTTGTGTTTGGCGGTCTGAGCTTTGAAAGCATCCTCGCCACCAGCCGAGACTTCCGGTTTTCCTCCTTTAAAAAAGTCAAGGTGGATATGTGCCAGGCTTCTTTTTCCACCATCGTTCCGCCACCAACCATTTCTTAATATGGACCAGCAGTGTCTCACGACACGAGATCTCACCTTTTTTTAAATTTATTGTTCTATTCGCTGGATTTCTCGACACTATATCTTTTTATTTCGCGGTTCGACGAAGATGGATTTCGTTTACCATCGGTGAATTTGTAACTCGGTTATGTATATTCAAAGATTTTAAGATGGAAAAATGTATAATACGTTAGTATCTCAATAATTTAAGGAACTATGAATACAGTGTTCCCTTGTTATATATTATTCCGATACACGTTATTCTGTTTTTGAAAGGTTCTAAGGTAATTACCATAATTTAAGAAAATTTGAATTTGTTAATATCCATAATTTAAGGGAGGAGAGTCCTTCGGGGCCAACTCCGAGACGATCGAAGCGCCGATGTAAACAGTTGGGCGTTAGCGAAAACACATTACCGATAATTGAGACGACTTGATGATACAACATCTAACGGCAGTACTTACAAATACATTGGTAATTATTCGGAATAGGTCCACCTTCATCGATTTCAATGACCTTGTACTATGTTGTCAAGGTCATCATTCTGAATAACTTTTCCCTATACATGTTATCGCCGCTCGGCTTTAGTTTCTGAGATATTCGCAAAAATATATTCGATACTGTATACTGTATTTTCTTCCGTATGGGTAATTATGTAGAAAAAGGGCAACCTCGTGTATGACTTTGACCTTCACTATGTTGTCAAGGTCAACGTCCTGAGTCACCTTAATCATGAAAAAATTGGCAGTATGCAATGTTTAAGAGATGATACATATTTGAAAGAGTGATCGGTGTAGGTTTGAGACTATATATTGTAGATTCGTTGACGGAGTGGGTAGCACATCGTGTGTATGTCTTGTGTTTGGTAGGATGTTGTGTGCGTGATTGTGCGTGATTAACACTGAGCGGTGTGTGGTGGGATGTTGGGTGCGTGGTATTGTTAGAATTAGTAATCTCAAATATAGCGCCAAATACTGTAAGAAACAAGAGTGAAATAGAGGGTGTGCTGTCGCGAGCATCCGAGCAGGACCATTAGAACACTGGCGAAGTAAAAACGTGCACAGTAGCATTAAGAACAAAGTCTGTTAAAATTATATTCTTTAGTAATCGTAAGATTGTAAGGAGACTATTATTATATCAAATATAGTTATATAGTATCGACAGCCTGTGTAAAGTTTCATTAGAAAGTAAAACTCTGCTAATAATTAAAAGTAAAAAGGCAACAGGTATAATAATTAATTAATAAATAAATACTTGAAAAAGTATTATGTAAATTGAAACATATTTTCCTGAGTATCCCGAAAATGAAGGCCGAGCGGTAGTAACATGTATAGGGAAAAGTTGTACAGAATGATGACCTTGGCAGCATATTTCAAGGTCACTGAAATCGGTGAGGATAGACCTATTCCGAATAATTACCAACAAATTTTGTTCCCCGTTACCATCAAGTTCGGTTTGAGCTATAGACATATACAATAGACTGCGCGTTCTTATTGTAGGGATGAAGTCGGCACTACAAAGAGAGGACAGTAACTGCAGTAACTTTCCTCTCTTTCTACGTCATGTCGCGATACGAAATCTATGTTATTAAATATAGTCCGATTTATGTCGGGATTGGACTATTTTCATCAAGAGAATCTCCTACATTTATTCATAACATTTTTAAGAAAGTACACTGAAAGGAGTAAAAGTTTAAATTTTTATTCATGGGTGATTCATTCTGTGTGTTACATTGTAACCCGAGGGCCCAAGGGTCGGTTGCCGGCGGCCAGATAACATCTCTACGCGCCGAGGCTTCGAGCTTCGAGCTTCGAGCTCGAGTGCCAGAGCCTCGTGTCTCCCCTGAGATTATAAATCTGTCACCCGAGCTCGTTCGAGTAGCTCGAACAAGCTCGAAGTATCAGCTCGTTCGAACAAGCTCGAATAGCAAAGCTCGGTTACCCATCACTAATTAAATGCGAGCAGCATTCCTTCTTCTCATGGCCCACCAGTCGCATTCTCCTCTCCTTCTGCGATATGCGAGCAAGAGAGAAGTTACTCCAGCGCAAAATCTGTCCTCCGTTCTCACTTCATACCTACCATACGGGTTGGGCAAAATTTATATCTAAATAAAAGTTTCGAATAATGATGAAAAGATAAAAAAATTTTATTCGTTATTCGAAGCTCGATAAAAGTAGTATCTTTATTCGACGAGCGCCGAATGAATAAATTTATTCGAAGATATTCGAAGCCTTCGAATCGAAGATTAAACTTAGAATAAAAATTTTAGTCTTTGCTATAATTGAGAAAAAGTTACTTTTTATTTAAATGGAAGGCAGTCATCGTTGTATGTATGTTAGAGAAATTTGTCAAAAAGTGAAATAATTATAAAATGATAATTTATAACTGACTAATCCCACGACAAAATTAAATGTTATCGAATAAAGCATACCATGGGACTAAGTGTATGCATTTTTATACATCGATGCAACTAAAAAATGCAATTGCACCCATTACTTAAATGAAACTCTACACTTTTAGCTGCACTAGTCGATACAATTTCTCGGCCCCTACAAATAAGTATTAAGATACTTGTTAGTCTTAAATCTGTTAGTTTGGATGTTATGATTTTTGTTGCTCCGTCCCATTGATTCATAACGAATAACTTTGGGTAACGCGTTTATTCGAGCCGTCGTACGTCAACGACCTAGGGTCAACACTGGATATTTAAAGCGATACAATATATACGGGCGTAAAACCTTTTTTAACTCAGACGTAAAATTGGTAGGTAAACAACAAATTTCTAATGTAAAAAATCTTAATTTAGTAAGGCAGATTAGACGAAAAGAGATTCAGTGAAACCGTCTTGGGATGTTTGGGGTATCGACTCGGTTCGATTCCAACTCAACTATCGGACCCGTTGCCAGATGTTCTGTTTCATTTTAAATGCCTAGTATCGACCTCAGGTCGTTGACGCTCAGCGTTCGGCAGCTCGAATAAGCACATTGCCAAAAGTTATTCGTTATTAATCAATGGGACGGAGCAACAAAAATCATAACATCCAAACTAACAGATTTAACACTAATAAGTATCTTAATACTTATTTATAGGGGCCAAGAAATTGTATCGACTAGTGCAGCTAAAAGTGTAGAGTTTCATTTAAGTAATGGGTGCGATTGCATTTTTTAGTTGCATCGATGTATAAAAATGCATACACTTAGTCCCATGGTATGCTTTATTCGATAACATTTAATTTTGTCGTGTGATTAGTCAGTTATGAATTATCATTTTATAGTTATTTCATTTTTTTACAAATTTCAACATACATATAACGATGACTGCCTTCCATTTAATAAAAAGTAACTTTTTCTCAATTATAGCAAAGACTAAAATTTTTATTCTAGGTTTAATCTTCGATTCAAAGGCTTCGAATATCTTCGAATCAATTTATTCATTCGACGCTCGTCGAATAAACATACTACTTTTATCGAGCTTCGAATAACGAATAAAATTTTTTTATCTTTTCTTCATTATTCGAAACTTTTATTCAGATATAAATTTTGCCCAAACCCGTATGGTAGGTATGAAGCGAGACCGGAGGACAGATCTTGCGTTGGAGTAACTTCTCTCTTGCTCGCATATCGCAAAGGGAGAGGAGAATGCGACTGGTGGGCCATGAGAAGAAGGAATGCTGCACGCATGTAATGTCTCCACTACAGCTGTAGGAGACTCCCCCATCTCAGAAAAGAGGAAAGTTACTCCAGTTATTGTCCTCTCTTTGTCTGGTGCCGCTTCATCCCTACCATAAGACCGCGCAGTCTATTATATGTATACAGGGTGTAAAAAAAATGTCATCCGACCCGGAAATGGGGCACTCAGGGGTGAATGGGAACAACTTTTTCCTTAGCAACAATGTAATCTGAGGCTTCGTTACCGAGATATTAACGAAAAACCCCAACCAATCGGAGCGCGAGTTTGCCAGCCGAGTTCCCGCGCTAGCGGTGGCTACGCGCTGCGCTTGTACTACGAAGCTCCGAACAAGTAGACCAGCATGCATCGCAGGAAACTGCGTGTAATAGCAAACAAAAAAGACGTCACAAATAAAGTCGTACTTTTTATCATCTGTTGTTTGGTATTTAACGAGATTACAGAATGTAGCATAAATGTGGGAAAATTGTGTGTAACGTAAAAAGACGAATGCACAGTTACTCTTTTAAACAGAATGGAAACTAATAATTATTTGAAGAGGGAGGCTCAGGAATTTGTAAAAGTGCAAGAAAAGAGCCGTCGCGTAGTTTCACCAAAGCGAGTAGCCCGTTAATTTATTGCCAGGGTACCTACTGCTTCGAGATAGAAAATAGACATCACGTGCATCGGCTTGAAAATGTCTGAAATAAAGAGAATATTAATTACCGAAAAGGTAATGTAACAGAAAATGAACGGGAAGTGATCGCAGTTTGTTATTGAGACAAAAATTCGTAGTTTAATAACTGGCAACAATGTTACTGATAATGAATAAGTTTCTTCAAAAAGCCCAACGAAAAATTTAGGTACAGAAACTTGCAGAATTATCGCCGGAAATAAGTCATAGTTTGCGTTAAATTAAAAAAGTAATAATGACTAATAAACTGAATAGAACTCACCCTTACGGAAATTCACCTGCAGCGTGCAAACCTGCGTGACTAGGTCACTACACCGATCCTGGTCATCGACTGCCGTAACGGTTTATGGCAGGGTATCGCCTAGTTCACAGGTGATCGCATGTATGCCTCCTCAGCCGAAGTTAAGGGTTGTAACATCTAGTGCATCCGGGTTATTCCACCGAATATGTATTCATTTCACTGCACGTAACCAAACACTTGCACAGCAGCCGTCGCATATCCGTTATTCTGTACGTACCACCAGAACATTGCGTAATACTCCCGTGAACTGAACATATCTGTCGCCC